GGGGGGGGGGAGTTGCAGGGTGCGGGGCGGGGCGGAGAGCGATCTAGGAGGTTAATGGTGGCGTGGTATGCGGTGCCTTGTAGAGATGGGAAGGTTCGAGGCCAAGGTTTCCCGCTCACCCTGGTCTCTCCTGCCTACTGCTGCTGCACAAAGCCAGGTGGCAATCAACAAGTGTCTCTCCCAAGATTAGTTTTAAAAGGAACTGAAGAGGTTTTCTCATCTGGATAAATCCACTGGCTCTATTGTGTGTTGTAGAGAATCATTCTTTGTTAAAAAGGAGCTTGGAGAAGGGGAGGGATGCTGAGGGGGCTTTTGGGCATCTGTCATTTGACCCTGAGGACGAGAGTTCAAATCCTCCAGAGGACTGAAAAGGCAGAACAAGTGTCGTGATCTCGTCTGCCCCCACATCCTGAGCTTTATATGGGGGGAAAATCCAGAGCCTGCTCTTGGCCACACCTTATCAATGGGAAGTCCATATCTAAGAGCAGGTTTTTTGTTTGTTTGTTTGTTTGTTTGTTTGTTTTTGTTTTTTTAGTTTAATCCAGGGAAGCAGGCAGCACTCTCAGCTGTACTGCTGTATTTTTTCCCCTCCTCTGCATATGATCGTCTAGAAAAGCTGAATCAACTGCACTCTGAAGAGCAGCCACTTCCGGGAGATTGAACCAAACTGGGGGGGCGGGGGGAGTAGGGATACCCTGATGGGCTTTAAATAGACATATGAGGTTGGCATTTGCATGTTTGGTTAAACTGAACTTAGAAAAGAGAGATTAAAGAGGTTTTTTTTTTTTTTTTTTTGGATGGCCTTGGTGGTAGAGAAGACAAACTAGGTGGACAAGGCGATCAGAAAGAGGAAGTTTGTGAGGTTTCCTCCTGGGGGTTGGGGGAAGTGGCTGGGTTACCAAAGTCGGTTGAGAAGGAAATCTCAGCAAGAAGATGGAAAATTTAGGAAAGACACTTAGAAGTTAGAATCAGCAAGCTATGGCCACGCCCTCTGGAGAGAGGAAAACTGAAAGGCAAGGAAGACAGAGCACTGGGCATGGTAGTGCACAGATGTAGTCCCAGTGTTCAGGAGGCAAAACCAAGAAAAGCGTCTCAAGTTTGAGGCCAGTCTATTCTAGTGCATTCCAGGCCAAACTAGGCTATGGAGTGGGACCATGTCTCAAAATAATGATAATAATAATAATAATAATAATAAATAAATAAATAAATAAAACAGTGAGAGGCTATAGTTAGTATGAAGCAATGCCTAGTTCAAGAAAGCAGAGGAATGAGGTTTCCATCCTTATAATCTGCCAGTGTGGAGGAAAACGAGGCCAGAATGCCTAACATGTACTCCTAACAACACTTACGGCCCTGGTTAAGGAACTGCCCCCATCAGTTTTGAGGTATTGGAGGGATGATGATTGACAGTCTTTCACAACCTGGGAGGCATTAAGGTCCCTTGATTTGGTCTTCTCAGGAGGAAATTGTTCCTCCTCTTAAGTCAACAAGTGGTTATAAGAAAAAATGACTTGGAACTTGGCCATGTGTCCTCTCATAGTCCCCTCGGATATCAGTGTCCCTCCCTGCCTACTTCAGCTGTGGTCTCCTGAGGACCAGGTTCCAGAAGGACAAGGGACCAATGGATGTCCCTTGCCACCATTCTCACTAAAGGTGCTTCATCTCCATCAGCCATCACCCTCAAATCCACATAAAGGCCAGCTATATAATTTGTGAGGCCTGATACAAAGGGGCAATATAAGGCTCCTAGTTCAAAGGTTTCTCTGGTTCTTAACATGCCCAGGCATATGTCATAGGCAGATACATATGTGAAATATATGTGCATACTTCTGTGCCAACAACACAGGAATACAGACGTGTGTGCCTGGGTTTCTCTCAACAAGTGAGCTTATGAGTGACACACAAGGAAACCCACCATCTTCCTCTTCTGACAAACCCGAAGCTGCTGTCAAGAAATCCAGTTTAGGGGTGGATCTGACGTCCCTGAGTGTATGTGGTGAACCTGAATTTGCCCTGGGTTTCCTCATATTCATTCAGGAGTGTTAGTTACCCCTTCATGCGACGTTGGAGAGAGTTACCCATGAGCAGAGATTTCATGTAAAATGAGATGAATGAAGTCCAACTTTTTATTTTCATTGCCTTGGATAAGTCCCAGCATTTCTCATTTCTTTCTCAAAAATAGGGGGAGGAACAGAGACAGCTCTATAATTTGTGGGGCCTGGCACAAAGGGAAAATAAAAGGCCCCTCCCTAGTTCAAAAAGCATGAAGAAAATGCAGTTACTGATATTAACACAGTTTTCCCTTTCTTCTACTGTTGCTCTCTAGACTTGTTATGGGGTTACTTATTTGCCGTTCAATGTTGTGCTAAATAAAAATTTTAAATTTCAATTGTTAGTGTGAATTTTATTATGCATCTTTATACTGTGCAAAGGTAGTTTTAAATGCAAATACTGGAGCATCCAACTCATTTGCAGAATCACAGATATGACAGAACTCATGCTTCATAGGTCATACATACGTACATATTTTGCTAATACCAGGACAATGGACACATTGAACAAAATGAGCTTAACTGTTTTACTTTCACATCTTGATAAGGATGCGCTATACCAGCCCTCCTCAGCTTGTTGTTAGTAAGGAAAGTCTGGGAAGGAAAGCAACTGTGGCTTGCATTAATCTTCATCTATGTGGTGGTTCTCAGCACCCCATAGGTGTGTGGCAAATACAGAGAAGGACTGTGTGTAAGAGGTGATATGCTTGGGTTCCATGGTCACTGGTGATGTTCAGAATGCTGTTGCTTGCTTCCACATCTGAAGCACCTTTTCAACCAAAACTGTGACCTCTCAGCGCTGCACTGTCCCCATATCTTCAACCCTAGACTTACTGCCTATCTGCTTTGAGTCTCACTGAGCTCCCACTGGAATTCTGCATTGATGCACAGGACCCTGCCAGCACCAAGAAGCAGCAAAAAAACTGAGGACATATCCTGCTTACTTTTCAATTCACTCCTATCTCCACTGACTTAGTGCACACAGCTTCAGAGATAAAATAATTAAGAACTTCAAGGATGTGAATTTTAGATTCTTATACTAAGCACTTAGCCCTTCTGAGCAAAGGGCTCTGTGTGATGACTATGTGTCACACACACTTTTGAAGCCAGCCTGGGTGGGAAGAGATGAGAAACAATCCAGATCCTAGACTGAGAGCCCAGTTGCTCATCTTCCTTCATCAAGCAAATGATTTCATCTGCAGCAGAAAACTCCTGCATCTTCTCATACTGATCAACTGAGCACTGCTCTCTAACCAAGTTCTATTCTGAAAAGCCCACTACTTCCTCTTGAAGAGATCACAACTTTGAAGACAGAATTCGCCTGTTGATCTCTCCCCAGTCCACTGATGCTTAGGACTGGAGATCAGGCCTTGGAAATGAAGCATCCACTCTGATCCACTGTGATTGATTGGTTCAATCAATCACATATCCTGTCTGATCTACACTTGGGTTTTACCATCTAAAGCAAATAAAATGATACTTATCTTGCTCCATGAATGACTGTGCTAATGATTTAATGATTATTAATTATTATTGATCTTATCACCACTCTGAAGTCTGTCCAGGGATCTTCTGGCTCAGGGTGACAGGTTCCCAGAAATTACTTTGGCAGTAAATTCAATTGATGTTGATGTTGAAGAAGTAGGGCTTGAGGTTCAAAGTTTCCAAGAGAAGGTAATACTATAGTCCTGATGGACCCTGGGAAGAAATTGTTCCTTCCTCCATCAACTGCCTTCCTGCTCCTTAATCCCTAAGGAACAAAGCTAGAGATATGAGTTGGACTAGCATAGGAATAAGATCGCATTAAAAATGCACCTGACCTGAAGAATGAAGACAGTATTGACCCTTTAGCATT